TGCTAAATGAAGCTCTGTTGCTTGGATATCACTAGATCCTGTTACAGCGTAATATAAAAGTACATAACGATTGATGTGTAAATTAGCATAATTACTAGCTAACCGCTAGCTGCTAACTGCCGCCTCGTTAATATCAAATCTATCATAATAACAAACCATTACCATGCTGTCATGAACGTGCGGTGCTGTTACGTGTACGCAAATTGACGTGCTTGATGTGAACGAGCATTTTGGGGGGCATGGTTAAAGTTGCGCATGCGCTATGAGCGCACATACGGGTACTTCTCAGGCATGCCGGGTAATCTGTGACGTTTCGCTCTCTCAAAAATTGGGCCATTTTATCATCATGCGCGAATGAGCAACTCTCATAGGAATTAATGAGGCCCCCCCTCCCACGCTGTATCCAGTTCTTATTATACATCCATGGTCAGACCAGGTTGGGTCCACTGCACTGTGAATGGTAGTGATGGCGAGATGAAGCCTTATGAAGCTTTGAAGCTTTCCAGCCAATTGGTTCGCAAAAGGGTTCATCTCATGAGGCTTCATCATGGGCTTCATTTGAACACAAACCCCCCTGTTGGTCAAAGTGTGTAAAACAGGCAGATTTGACATCTCAATAGTGTACTCTATCTCATACCGAGTTCCCAATGAGTAAAGCCTTAGAATAACTCTTAACAACGAACATAAAATCATATTTTCATGTTAACAATATTGTTTTTATTCCAGTTGAATGATTGTGATTGAAAAGCCTAAGGAGGCTGGTAAACATTGCAAAGAGGGATTTGTATTCCTTAATAATATTCATAAACATAACCATGTTGTAGCCTGAGAAAGGCTAAACCATATCAAAGAATACATTTATTAACTACATTATCTCATTTAGCTGTAGCTTTTATAAACAACAAAAAAGACGTATTGTTCAGTCGTTGAACCAGGGACCCTGCGGTCGTGAGTCAATTGCTTTCCAGCTGAGCCACAGCCCGTACACTGAATCTCCCTGAAAACACTCCATCGTATTTATTCCTGTATTTATTCATGTTCCTACATTTATTTATGCTTATATCTATTTATACTTATGACATGTTCCGACCTCTATATAAGTGAGGGTCTAAGCTCTTTTAATTCCATCGTGTCACCAGCGGACCCGGGTACAGGAGGGGTAATATGGTTCTTATTATACATCCATGGGCATTATGAGCGTTGTGGTTCAACGGTTCAACCGATCTGAATCGCTTTCTGAAGCAGTCACGTGGTATCGACAGGCAGCGAGGCTTCGTTTGTCATCGATGACGTCACTGGCCCAAAACGATACAAGCCTCGATACATGCTTCACAAAAAGCTTCGGGGATTACTCGACACACGCTCCGAAGCCTCGGCGCAATACGTAACATCACTAGTGAATGGAACAGGCCCCTCCTACATTCAGGACATGGTTGAACCACAAACAAGGTTTGGCTTATTGAAAGCTAATGTACTTGCATGATTCTTCGAGTTTGCATCATCATGGTTGATTGCACTTGTTGAAAGTTGCTTTGGATGAAAGCATGTGCTAAATGCAATGTAATAACATCATTTTTATTCATAAGCCCACACAAACATTGAGGGAGAGAAAGCTGTACAAGTTTAACAGTCTAACACTTAATAACAGTGGCGAGCCGTGAGCTTTATACCTAGGCCCTCTGACCCCCACCCCTTCCCTCGAAAAAAAGGAAAAAAAATAGTTATTACGTCACAGCGTATACTTCAGCGGAATATCAAAACAACGGCCCAGGGTGCAAAACGCATCAATGACAGCGACCCTCTACCACACAAAACAACACCTGTGAACCCAATTTGTGTTCTTTGACATTGAAAATGATATTGCATTGTGTTTGTTACTTTCGTTACAGTTGTATGTCTTACGTGTAATTTGGCATGCTTTTATTTTGAAGGCGAGTTCACGCTGTTGACAGGAAGTTGTTGTTCCTATGGAAACAAGAAAAGTTTCACAGCGGGCGGAACTTGTCATAAAGTCCGCGATAATGAAACCCACCCATTTAGAGGGAAGATATGATTGGTCAATTGGACTGTCATTTGACATTACTCTCTCGTTCAGTTACTATAGTATGGGCTCAGAACAGTCTCATAATACACACATGCACACATAAGGATTCACACTTGTATTTCATGATCCGCAAAAGGATTCACACTTGTATTTCCGGATCCACACTTGTGTTTTTCAATGCACACACAAATGTGTTCCGTTTCATATACATGTAAATAAAATCCAAATACAGAAAAAAGTTTTACATATGTATTTTTGATCCTCACATATTTGTTTTCCGTTTAAAACCGCTGCACCTGCAAACACAAACCGCTTTCTGTGCATGGATCGCTGTGCATTCGTGTGTGGGTTTTTTGAGACTCCCCTGACGGTCACCCGATTCGTACTTGTAATTTTTTCTATCTATAGCCAATCAGATGTCTCCTCAATTCTAAGCCAATCACATGAGCGCGCCCCCACGAGGGTAGATTTCTTGCGTTCATGACGTAGCGCTTCATGTACGCATTTTGCGCTGTCCGGAGCTGACAGGTCCATGGAGCCTGGCTGCCTGCAGGCGCTAATCTCAGGACACCTCCACTCTCAGTACATTGACACTTTCAGAGCAGGAAATGCACGCAAATACAAGCCTTTATATTATTAAGGTACAGTGCCACTTTCCGAACCATTAATGAATGCTTGTGTACACAAAAACGGCAGGCAAAACCGTTTTAAATGTGTGTTTCCTGTATGGCGAATACAGCTGCTTTATGTATGTCTGTATGAAGTTGTTGTGAGTGTGGAGGGAGCAGCTACAGGTTAGCTTAGCCTAATCGATCAGTGCACTACGAAGCCAGTGCTAGACAGTGAACTGTCAACGGGGGGAGCCCCGCCGGTCATTATCGGCCGATATTCACTCTTAATAGTTTGATCGGTGCTCTCTATAAAGGCCGATCAGGAGAGCTGGATCTGATCGATATGGACATAAACGCGAGTGAAGTTTTAGCGAGCTACATGAGAAACTGGCGGGCTGTCAGGAGAGAGGAAAAAATAGATGATCCTTACTCCCGTGTTATTAGCCATATCCGGTCATAGTCCGGTAATTACCTACTAACGGAAACTCTGCTTCTTCTTCTTATTATTATTATTATTGAAACATGACCGGTAAGTTTCAAATTTGTCCGGTAAAATTAATTCTGTCCGCGGAAACCCTGCTCCGAGTCCGGACAGCGCAAAATGCGTATATGAAGTGTCATGAACGCAATAAATCTACCCTCGTGGGGACGCGCTCATGTGATTGGCTTAGAATGAAGGAGACATCTGATTGGCTATAGATAGAAAAAATTACAAGTACGAATCGGGTGACCGTCAGGGGAGTCTCAAAAAACCCACACACGAATGCACAGCGATCCATGCACAGAAAGCGGTTTGTGTTTGCAGGTTCAGGGGATTTAAATGGAAAACAAATATGTGAGGATCAAAAATACATATGTAAAACTTTTTTCTGTATTTGGATTTTATTTACATGTATATGAAACGGAACACATTTGTGTGCGCATTGACAAACACAAGTGTGGATCCGGAAATACAAGTGTGAATCCTTTTGCGGATCATGAAATACAAGTGTGAATCCTTCTGTGTACATGTGTGTATTATGAGACTGTTCTGAGCCCATACTATAGCGGGCCCTCTGTGAATCGCAGAGAGGGCCAGACCTTCTTTCATGTAACCCTTCACATTCAAACAGAGACCGAACAGGCAGATTCGAAGGATTTATTTCTTTGGAAATGTTATTTTATTAAATCAAGTTTTTTTTTCCGTAAAACTAATGAAAAATATAACAAAAATAATATAAAAAAAATATATATTTTTAAAAAATATATATTTTTTTAATGTTTTTAAATATTATTTTTTGGAATATCTTAGGCCCTCACAGAGGGCCTAGAGGGCCCTGACGGCTCGCCACTGCTTAATAATGATCCCATCTCAATACACTACATAGTGTGACCTAACACAATACTAATGAAATGTCCTCCGCAATACATTGCTGGGTGGGACGTTTTTTGAAGGAACGGTAGTCCAGAAAATCTAAGGACAGAATGACAGACATACATAGATTCCAATTTGACATTACTGCCAAACTATTGGATTATTTTAGTTAGGTTTGCCCGATAAACACATGGATGTGTAAAGAGAACGGGATACAGCGTTGGAGGCAGGGACCCAGTTCATTCGCTGCTCAGTGGTGCATGAAGCCAAAATGGCCTGACTCTCAAGAGCAAAAGTACCCGGATCCTTCAAACCCCGCCTCCCACCTATTTCATGTCTATTTGGACATGAAATAGCGGTCATCAGATGAATGGAGTGGGAAATAACTCTGTAGTCAGTTATTAGCACATTTTATTTAAGATCTAATCATTTTAATTAGGGTTTTTCAAATGTTCAGACATGTACTTTATTTAAAAAATGCTTTAAGTATGCTGATTCACAGATGTCTCTTTCCCAATGTAAGTCAATGGGAATATATTTTTGGGCTCAATGGCATCACATGACTGATACGGAAGTTTTAATATTACCGTTTGGCCACTATGAAAATGTGCTTAAACGCCTGCCGCACATCCTGGGGGCTTGGCTTAACGCTACTGAATGGATACTGTAGTCAGTCTAGTTCTAAACACGTGCATGGAGACAAGAGCTGGTTAACTATGTATAGCGCCTTATAGTCTGCCCACCACTCAAAACACCTTTACACTGCAGGACAACATTCATCCACACACACATTTATAGTGATCCCATACAATGTGCCAAACTGATTCTCATTGACAGACATTCCTCCAGGTGAATTTTGTGGTTCAGTATCTCGCCCAAAACATTTCGACATAAGGACTACGGCTTGACCCCCTGATTCATGGCCGTCCAAACAAGCATATCAGTAGGAATATAAATAAGTTGAAATCCCCCAACTGCAGTGATTGAATACCTAGATCAGGTCTGCAGATGGTGAGGTATCGGTCGATGGCCACCACCGTCAGCAGGCCAATACTCGCCATGCCAAAGAAGATGTTGAGAGCTGCATAGATCTAGGGACAAAAACACAGAAAAAGTTAATTAACAGACCGTTATTGATAGTGGGCCTGTCATATAATTATAATTAACCATGTTTATTAAGGTTTATTGGTTAAAGCAACTTTAATCACACTTTAATGGTCGTGTTTCAATGGGTTTAAAGGCAGTTAAAGGTAGTGTCTATGTAAGGAGGTACACCAGGTAATTAACTGATGTGTAGTTAAAGGACATGCTAGGACTTTGATATAATGTTTATTATCTCCCTAAAACAAAGCCTTTGGTTTATAACCGATTATATTCCTGATTGATAAATCTGCAGATTGTTTTGCATTAACCATGTACACACTTGGTAAAAAACCGTTTGAAATCTCAAATATCCATCACAATTGTCCAAAGCTAAAGGCAACATTTTGAAGTGGGATGTTTTGTCCAATCAAAAGTCCAAGACACAGAGATATTACATTTATTATAATTAATACAAAAAGAAAGAGAAATAAAGAAAAATAAAAGGAATACAGACTTTTATTAATCCACGAGGTTCTCACATATGAGAAGCCAGAATCAGCTGAACAAATTTACAATTTCAGACCATTAATTCATGATCTTAATACTGCCCAGAAAGCATTTACTTTTGAAGGTTATACAGCCCCTAATCTCAACATAACATTTGTTCTTATTTTTTTAGCTGCTAAAGGAAAAAGACCGTTGCTTAGGACATTCGTTTTCCTCCTTCAGAAAACATCATAAAAAACCTTTTGAATAATCACTTTTATATTTTTGGAGAGCACAAAACTTGTCTAAACTGTCCCCAGTAAAGAAAAGAAAAAGAGAACAAGAACAAATAAACAGCACAACAGGAGGAAAGAGTTAAAAGACACAGAGAAAGAAGAAGACAGACAGGAAGTAAACATTTAAAGGTGGGGTAGGTAAGTTTGAGAAACCGGCTCGAGATACACTTTTTGTTATATTCCATGGAATGCTCTTAACATCCCGATAGCAATGAATATCTTAAGTGCTTTGACAAAAAATCCATAAAAAAGAAAACGGCAGACGAAGACAGACAGGAAGTAAACACTAAAGGGAACAGCAGAAGAGGACAGACAGGAAGTAAACACTAAAGGGAACATCAGAAGAAGACAGACAGGAAGTAAACACTAACAGGAACACAGTATGGGCTCTGGCAGTGTTTAAAGCAGGGGTGGGGAACCTCCGGCCCCCGGGCCGTATACGGCCCGCGAGACCATTTGGTACGGCCCTCGAGGTAATTTATAAACACACGCAAAAAAGAAAAAAAAGAAAAGAAATCTAGACCGCAAAAAAATTAAACAAGCGAGTGCCTGTTTTTCCTGGCCACGGGTCAGGGTCCTTGAACAAAACACGAGCCTAACGTGTCATCACGTGGTATATGTCTGGTCTGACCATGGATGTATAATAAGAACTGGATACAGCATGGGAGGCGGGGCCTCATTCATTCCTATGAGAGTTGCTCATTGGCGCATGATGATAAAATGGCCCAACTTTTGAGAGAGCGAAACGTCACAGATTACCCGTCATGCCTGAGAAGTACCCGTATGTGCGCTCATAGCACATGCGCAACTTTAATCACGCTCCCCAAAATGCTCGTTCACATCAAGCATGTCAATTTCAAGAGAAGAAGAAGAAGAAGCACGTCAATTTGCGTACACGTAAGAGCACCGCACGTTCATGACAGCATGGTAATGGATTGTTATTATGATGGATTTGATATTAACGAGGCGGCCGTGGCAGTTAGCAGCTAGCGGCTAGCTAGTAATTATGCTAATTTACACATCAGTCGTTGTGTAGGCTACTTTTATATTACGCTGATGTAACAGGATCTAGTGATATCCAAGCAACAGAGCTTAATTTAGCATGATACTTTTGTGGGTTGTACATGAAACCACTTGGTAATATATACAAATATATGTATTTTGAGTTATGATCAATTGTGATTTAAATCTTTATCTAAAAAGTAAAGCTGATGATGGATTACTGTGGTGGAGTTAAAATAACAATAGCCTATTTCTCTTTGAAATGTGATGGAGTAAAAGGATAGTAACTGTGATTATTCATGTTAAGTACCCAACAAGTAACTAAAACGTATAATACTTGAAGGAAAGGTGTAAAATGTTTCCATAAATACCAATATCACACACTACAACACAGACTATAACACCCCTTGTTGTTAAATACCAACCATGTGTGTGTATATATATATTTATATATATTTATGCCGCTAAAACTGTGTAATATACCAGGCTGCCAAATCCTCCAAACTGTTACAGGATGTGTATTTTGTAAAATGTGTAACTTTTTTTATTATAATTTCTGGTTTTTAATCTTTAATACTTTTTTTATGCATACTTTAAGTAACATTAGGCTGTCTTTGTTTCTGCTGTAACAATGTAAATGTATTCTGATTCTGATCTAATTGATATGTTTTTGTCACAGTTTGTTTCCCTATATTGCGACACTTGTTTTGTTTAAGATTATTTCTCCTTTTTTTACAGACATCCCCAACCATAGTAGAATGCTGTTGTAAAGGATTGCATTGATCCGTGCATCAATACCTTCACCCAGCTTTGAGGCCTCCAATGAATTAAATCATCTTGTGGGTGGGAAAAATGTGAAAAAATAAATCTCACAAAGAGTGACTTTCTGGTGTAATCATTATAATATCAAAGACAAGCACTTTTAGTAATATATAAAATCATTCAGCAGCAGAGGTTGGGGTGAAAACAGCATTTCTCATCACATCTCCTCTTCATCCCATCTCCTTTCATCATATCCAGTGCCAGGAGAGCTTATCCAAAGACCTCATCACACCTCCTCTTCATCCCATCTCCTCATCAAATCCAGATCTTCAGCATCATCACCAGTGTCTAGACCCCGGGGGGTTCCCTATATGCTCACGGCTGCATTTCCCCCTTTGGATATACGATTTCAGGATCGGGGTCTAATCGCCAAAGACTTAACATTTATCATATGTGTCAATAAATGTTCTTTAAACAAAATGAAGTCTCTCCTGATTTAACTGTCTGGACCACATCCTCAACTTTTTTTCAAACCATAACATGCCTTCAGTGGGCTTTCCTGTTGATCATGTTTGGTGGATTTTTTAATAGAATCATTGTAATCAATATTATATTACCTTTTAATCTATATAAATTGTATTAAAAATTGTTTCACCTAGTTCTACTATGCCAGCCATCAGAGGTATACATTTTGTAACATCTCTTTTAGGTTTCATTTCTTATATTTGTGAATTTCTATATAAAATGCTGATTTCTACCTGAAATGCTTATGTATTTTTAATTACATTTTCGTAGAGCTTTGACTTTTTCAGCTGAATAAATATTATAACTAGATGGTTTTGTTCAGCATTGCCAGCTTCACTGTTGAGCTTTATGTTGTGCCCAGCATTCTCCTGTGCTCTGAAATCAAAATGTGGATAAGCATAAAACAACACTAAAATAAACACTACAATACAACTTGTTATTTGACACACACAAGGTTGTTCATTTGTGTGTATAAATATACAACACAGGCTATATACATATATATATATATATATATATACATATACAAGTATAATTAATACAACTATTAATTTGATTAGAGCTTTGACACATATATCTTTATTTATATATGTATAAGTATGACGACTACCTCGGTATCATATGGTAGGCCCAGAGCCGTATAATAGAAGGCGCTGGGTAGGCCTATAGCAACCAAACGGAAGTGTAGTACTGCCGTTTGGCCACCACGAATATTTTCATCTGAGTCCGGCGCACTTCCTGGGGGCTTGGGTCTGACAGGGGTGCAGTTCTGACGGAGAGCACCAGAACGCCGCTCCGCCACTTCCAAAAATTGCAGTACCCATAAGGAGCCGTACACATGCCGCAGTTTTTGCGTGGCTGTGTCTTTAGTTGAAAGCCCAGTGGCGATCTGTTCCTCTGTCATACTGATCATACAGTCAATAACTTTGTTGTTATTAGCATCTGGTTAGCTAGCTATGCTAACGAATATAAGAAGCTTTTTCTACAACCAGTGAGGTAAAGGCACATCTTTATATGATCATTATAGTTATAAAAAAACAAGAGAATAAAGTAAACAGGTATAAAATACTATATGACAGTAAAAAAAAGTTGTTATTAATAAACAAGAATAGAGTTTGAAAGGGGAGTGATTTGTAAAATATCCATAAAGAAAAAGAAAATCTGCTTACAGTTCTGTTTCATATGGGTGTTGAGAGATGTATCCATAGATCTCCTAATGTTGCTCTCAAAGTGCACCAGATTGATGCTTTTAACTTCAACATTTAAAAAAAAATATCTTCCCGGGGGAGCATGCCCGTGCACGTGCATGCATACGCGAGTCATGGTAAGATATCTGGATTAAGAGGTTGCTTTTTATTTGCACAACATGAAAGAAAGGCCAAATGAATGGGCTGTGATTTTAGTATTTTTAAGCAGAGGTCAATCGGTCAATCGGCCCTCGGAGATGTTGAAAAAATGTAAATGGCCCTTGAGAGGAAAAAGGTTCCCCACCCCTGGTTTAAAGACTGGTTAATGGAAAAGAAAAGGTGAACAGACTTGGACAGTTACAGAAAACCTCCATCAGTGCTGCCGTCACATTGAGAGATGTTCCTGTCACCGCAGATAAGCCGTTGGTACACAATGGAACAGATTATGATTTTCTTCTTGTTTTCATCAAAACAATTATTTTAAGAACATTTTGTGAGACAAGTTGTTGGTTTAAACAGGACATAGCCATGTTATAAGGGGAGGGAGGCTGTGGCTCAGTGGATAGTGTGCTGGACTTCAAATCAGGGGATAATAACTTCGAGTCCCACTGCAGTCAGCATGTCATTGTGTCCCTGGGCAAGACACTTCACCCCAAATTGCTCCTGTGGGGATTGTCCACAGTACTGAGTCGCTTTGGATAGTCGCTTTGGATAAAAGCGTCTAACAAATGACATGTAATGTTATAATGGGATAATGTGCAGCAAAACCGGTCATTAATGAGAAAAGAACACCGACCCGAAGTGGAGGGATCTTGAATCAAGCTTTTAACTTGCATTCCATGTCGTTTTGGGTTGTCCCCCTCAGTTAAATGGTGTTCAGAAGAGGGCACTCACCTGACAACCAGTGTATCCAAACTTCCAGCTACCATGGATATCAGAGGCTGCTGACATGGGATATCCGATACCAGCCACTCCGATGTCAGTAAGAGCCAGGTTGATGATGATGATGTTGGTGGCAGTGCGCAGCTCCTTAAACTTCACAAACATCAACAGAACCACAATGTTGCTGGCTAAACTCACGATACCTAAGAGGAGGAAAGAAGGTCTGAAGCTTATATATTTTATAACATTAATAATAATGAATAATAATACTTCATTCTATTTAGAGGCGCCTTTAAAAGCACCCAAGGACACCTTACAATTAAAAAAATATTCTAAGTAAAGGTTTAAGACACATTAGCCGCCTTTAGCTTAGCGATGTTGATGCGCAGTCAAGTGACCGTGATGTAGTCAGTTTATAGGCTAACGTTAGTTTCACTTATGGCAATTGCATTAACGCCTCAAACATCACAAAATACTGTTCATGTAGAGATTATCCTGTTTTCCTGCAATATTCCAAAATCCAATAGAAAAATTCCAATTGACCTTTTGTCGAGGGTGCCCTAGCGATGCTAACTTTAGGGTTGGCCTGCAAACATATCATCACTGCAAGACTCTATACAGTGCCTAAACTTTGCTGTGTGTGTGTTTTTGTGTGTTTAGAATCTTTAGCATATATAGTAATAGGAGTTGGCTTGACAGGAATATGGTATTCAGGAAAGCTTGCAGCATAATACACTTTTTAATGTGTTATTTCATTATTCTTTATGAGGAATTACATAACACTGCCAATAGTAAGCCACATTCCCATATCTCCTTCCAGCTTACTGCTAATGGTTGGAAACGTAACTGTTAGATGTTTTGAGAGTATGTTCAAACAAGGTCTGAATGCAGAGTTACATAAAAGGACTACAAGGTTCTAGAGAAGAACACCAAGCAGATAAATCACATTGCATACAACACCATTTTCAGATTACTCATTATCAATTCATCTATTCATAAAGCCATTATCTTTGTTACCTGCCGTTATCAGATATCCAGCCACTATGTTGTGCTCCATTTGGGTAAAGGCACTTTTTCCCCCGTAAAGTGAAACTTCATCGGACATATTGACAGCGAATTCTATTCCCATTTTTTTTTGCGGTTTGCAAAAATGTAAATGAATTGAAGTACACAAACAGTAGTGGATTGAAAATGACACAGAGGGGCGGGAAAAAAATCCACAATCCGAGCCAAAGAGATGTAGAGAGTCAGTATTGCAAAATGCTTCTTCCAACTAAAGTCTGTGGGGTATTGTTGTGGAGAGGTGGGGTGAATGTTGGTGGGAGGGGGGGGGATTATTACATACCACGGCCCCCTTGTCCCCAGTTATCTGGAGGCAGTCTGAGCGTGAGCTGCAGAGGATTAGCTCTCACGTGGAGTTCAGTAAGCTTTGTTATTAGAAAACTGAAGTGAATGCCAGAGCCTCACACTGAGACTTTTACTTCAGAGGTTACATACTGAAGGGACAACCAAGGCTGGGTTAGCAAACGGTAAAGGGGGAACCTGCTCAGAGCCTTACTCCTCAGGGTCCCCCAAGGCCCCACGTTCACTTTGAGGCCCTGATACCCCTTCTCCACTGAAATCAGTTCTGTTGTAGTAGTTCCGTGCTGGTGCTACTTTGGTTGGTAACAGTTTGCTTTTCCACCAACCAGAGCCCTGTAGGAGCTGAGTCATGACGTCACCGTTTGTGCCGCCGCTCTGAATATCCATCACAACAACAGTGTAATTTCGGTGCACAAGGCAATCTTTCCAACGGGTAAAAGCCTATGATTGTTCAACAGAATTAAAGCAGTGCATTGGAATTATTGATTAGATCGAAACTCTTTATCTAATGCCTAAAACTTCTAAATTCTAAACGGATAAATAGTGAGCGATACCAAGTCAAGATCCATATAAAACATTATTTAGAAAAGTGATATATTCAGTATCGAGTATATATTTCATAAAGATCTGGCCATCAATTAGCATTGGTGATCTGCTCTTGTTTTCAAATCTTACACTGAGCAGAATATGAGCAAGAGAGAGGATCGTTCTATTTTTTTAATATAACACACTGTTACAGGGGGTTAACACTTAAACCAGACTTTAGTTAGACCTGGAGTAAATTCACAAGCTGCCCTGCAGTATACAAAGTCATTCAAATTAGTTCCACCTTTACCAGCTTTGATAACACTTTAATGATCAATCATTATAAAACATATCATATATATTATTCTGAAATGGACCAATCTGCACAATGACTACTTTTACTTTATATACTTTAAGTATATTTAGATGCTAATACTTTTGTACTTTTACTTGACTTACATTCTAAATACAGGACTTTTACTGAAACAGAGTATTCCTACACTTTGTTATTACTGAAGTAAAGATCTGAGTAGTTCCCCCACCCTGTAGTGTACACCACTGCAGAGTAAACCGTCATCATACATCCATGCATGGGCGTGATTTCCACTGGGGACAGGAGGGACATGTCCCCCCCACTTTTCAAAATCCCGTTTGTGTCCCCCCCACTTTTCAAATGTGTATATTATTATTTGTATTTATTATTATTTTACGCAAGCGGTCATCGTCACTGAGGAGCGTCTGTGTGTGTGTGGCACGAGCGCATTTTGTGTGAGAGAGAGAGAGAGACAGAGAGAGAGACAGAGAGAGAGAGAGAGAGAGAGAGAGAGAGAGAGAGAGAGAGAGAGAGAGAGAGAGAGAGAGAGAGAGAGAGAGAGAGAGAGAGTGACGGGGGTTGTTGTTAGCATCTGGTGCTAGCTCGGAGCTAACGGAGATTAGAAGCTGTTTCAACAATAAGGAGAGGGAGAGCTCTCTCCTGTCGGACTGATGCCCCTTTCACACCGGCGCTTTTTCAGCTCCGGCTCGGAGCTGGAGCCTGAAAAGTACCGTTTTTTCCTGTTCACACCGCAGCGGCGCCGCCTCATAGCTCCGGAATGCGGTTCACTTCCAGCTCCAAAAAATTGTCGGTCTAGAGGCAAGAGCTTCGGAGCTAGAGGCGGCGTCGCTTACGTCTCTCTTACGTCGAGGCGTGCAGGAAACTAAACCCACCTCCCCTGAACATGCCATGGGTCGACTGAAGAGTCTCGTCATGCCTGCCTACAAGCAGTAGCGCTGAGCAAAGTGACTAGAAGGCAACCACACACTTATAAAAAAAAAAACACTTTATAAAGTCAGGCAACACTAACCAGGCTTCGTGTGATTCTGTTTATTTGTACCTTACTTTGACCATTTAGGGTGGCCATCCGTCCGGTTTTAGGTCGGACAGTCCGGTTTTCAATGTCTGTGTCCGTCTGCCGGCGCAGCCTTGAGCCGGACGCTCATTTGTCCTCCTTTTGAGGTCATCCCTATTTTATACTTTTAGGGTATAAAAAAAAATAGACAATTATACAAAGAAATACAAAAAATAAGTTATGTGTAAGTATATATCCCCGTAAGACTTGTGGTCTTACAAATTATTGGCTGAATGCGATGTCAAATAAATATCTTGTATTTCATTGGTTAATAAACGTAAACAATTAGCCATGTGCTTCTTGACGTCACGTTCACGGCAGGGCACTGTGGCACAGAGTGAAGTTAGCCTCGCCGACTAGCTCATGAGCCAACTCCACCTAGTTAGCGGTAGGGTTAAACCGCAGAAATGCCGAAACGAAAGACTTCATTTAATCCTGAATGGTCGAAAGAGCATGGATTCCTCACAAAAAGTCGAAAGGACGACTTCCATGCTTTTTGCACGTTGTGTCGTTGCGATGTGGACGTAAGCAGCAAAGGAAAAGGTGCTGCTACTCTGTCCAGACGCATGTGGATTATATAAAAGAAAATGAACTGCATTATTCAGTGGCAAGTGATGCATCAAACAAAGGTACGATCAAGTGTTTCCCCATTGTACTGAGATATTTTCACTTTGAGGAGGGCGTGCAACATGCACTGTTGGATTTTTACAGTGATAGCAACGAAAAGTCAGAAGCTATAACAAATCAGTTGCTATCTAAACTGGAGATGTCTGGACTAGATGTGAAAAAAATGTCAGCATATGCAGCAGACAACGCCAGCGTTAACTATGGAAAACACAACAGTGTTTATCAGAAACTGAAACTGGCTCAAAAAGACGTGCTCGCTGCAAACTGTTTAGCCCATATTCTGCACAATGCAACAAGATATGCAGCAAGCAACTTGGATATTGACATTGAAAATGTTGTGCTTAAGGTGTATAGCCATTTTAGCATCTCAGCTAGCAGAACGGCGCAGTTGAAGGAATTCTGCGAGTTTGTGGAAGTGGAGGAATGCAATCTGCTGCGGCACGTTGTCACGAGATGGTTGTCTCTGCTGCCATCTATTGACAGAATCCTGAAGTGTTGGAGACCCCTGACCAGCTACTTTCAGAGTCTAGGTGAGGAGGAATGCTCCAAGATTTTGTGTAAATGCTTTGGAGAGGATGGCAACGAAGTATCTGAGATGTATTTTCTCTTCCTCAGTCACATTCTGAAAGTGTTTTCAGACTGCATTGAAGCACTTGAGGCCAAATCATTCAGCATAACCTCTGTGTTTAAGGTAATGACTGAACTGAAAGGGAAACTTGAGAGAAGGTTAAAGGACACATTTTTTGGCTTTGCTGTGAACAACAAACTCAAGCAGCTAACCCCTGATCTGGCAAAGAAATGTGAGGCTGATTTTCTTGTTTTCTATGAAAGAGCCAAGAAATACGTGAGTGAAAGGTATGACTTCTCTGAGAACAGCTTTCATAGTAAAGTGCCAAAGCTTGGCCTCACAACTGCTGTGTCCTATGGAGAATACAGTGATGCAGTCCAAGCCTGCAGCCTGAAAGACATTGGATGGACTCTATGAGGAATATGGCATGGTGGAAGCTATTCTCAGCTCTTCAGAAATGGAAGGATGCCACAGTGAGGAGCGGTATCTCAAACTGTTTTCCAAAGCAGAAGTCCCACTTGTGAATCTGAGGAAGGTCAGCGCCTACATCTTCTCCATCCCATGTAGCAATGCCCATACAGAACGTGTGTTCTCAATGATGACCTCAGTATGGAGAAATGAGAGAAATCGTCTGGATGTGGACAGTGTCAAGGCAGAGCTGCAAATTTGTGTCAACTTCACATTTGAGTGCACAGACATGTACCAGAGACTCCTTACAAACAAAAAACTCTTGGAAGCAGCCAGGAAAGGGCAAAAGTATCGAAAATAGACATTCAACTTGTGGTTAGTACACTAGTCTTATTGTGTTTTGAGTGTGAAGGATTCAGTGAAGCCAGGATAAAAACTAAAAGATAATCCCAAAGTGTCCTCCTTTTTGGTGTTATGGAAATGGCCACCCTACATCCGTTCGCTGTTATTGATCATTGTGGAGAGCAGGCAGACGTTTTGTTTTTTATTATAGCAGCTATCGGATGGAATCAATACTTGGGCTGCACAGGTTGTCATGTCCGACTATCACAAGTAGAATCATAATGAAAAATACGCCGGTAAAATGTGCCTGTAGAACACGGCTTAGCAAGTAGTCAGTTTAGCTTCGGTTGCTATGCTAACATCACCCATGTTATACCAGAGAAACTTTCATAACAGCGTTGTGATGCCAAACAGCGTCAATTCAGACTGACACACATTCACTTAAGGGGAACTGGGGATATGTATCAGCTGCTTGTGTGACAGTCAGACAGTGAATACTTTAGAGCCGTGTGAGCTAACCCGGAGCTAACGGGAGAATAAACTCCCGTGGAAGAGCAGCCAGCACTGCAGCGGTCGGTAAATGCCGCTGAAACACATTAATAAACAATGAACCACGGCACTCTGGAGAAAAGTATAAGGTTGGAGAAGTCGTTATTTAATTTAATCTGGCTTCGTATGATTAAAAGCAACACGATCATCGACCCGTTGTTGTTGTTGTTGTTGTGAGCTCCGTTGGGGAGAAAATCAGCGATGTAAACGGTGACGTCATGACGCAGCAGCGGCATCTCTGGGCGGTGTGAACAGAGCGGGAGCAGAAAAGGGAAACCGGAGCTGAACCAGAAAAGCTCTAGCTAGGAGCTAGAAAGGGAAAAGCGCTGGTGTGAAAGCCGCATGAGAGGCTCAGATAACGTCAGTTTAGGTGATGTAAAGGACTCGCTGAGCGATTAGATTGTAAACTGTAGTCTAAGTTATCTCAGTGGGTCTCAAACGGTTTGGTCATCTATGTAAACAAATATTTCCATCTATTTAATATAGTTGTTCAAAATAAGTAAAAAATAATTCCAATGTCAGTAAAAAGTTAAAAACTGTTTAAAAGGGGAGTGATTAGTCAAATATGCATAAATAAAAAGAAAGAATGCAGACTAGGTAAGATACATATAGGAGAGAGGAGTATATCAATTATTTGTTATTGGTTGTGAGCATATTGATATTCTAATGGTTTTTGGAGTATTGAAATATATACAGTTCTGTTTCATATGAGTGTTGAGAGCTGTATCCATACATCTCTTAATTTGTGCACCAGATTGATGCCTTTAACTTCAATTTAAAGAAAAAAATCTTCCCGGGGGTGCATGCCCCAGGACCCCCCTATAGGATGTGAGGTCATCACAAATAAAACAGGTTCACATGGATAGGATACTAGATAGGTTTGCACACTCATTATACAGTATACACTACACATTTTTCTTGGATTTTTTAACACCATAGTCCCTAATATATTTGCAGAAAGGCAGGAAATGGAATTAAATCGAGAACAATGTTTCATTGCGGAGGACCCCCTGTTTTGTGTCCCCCCCACTTCTCAAACCAAAGTTACACCCTTGCATCCATGTACAGTACACTAACATCCGGGTCAGTAGGGGGCGCTATGTGGCTCACGGTAACGTCCTAGGGACAAGAAGACGAAACGACCTCTCTGCATTGATCCACTTCCTCTTCACTTCATCTGCCTCTTCAGCCGAGAACACAGCAACACTTTACCGCAGCAAACAAACATGTCAGGGCTCCTGAGGACCATCGCCAGGCGCGCAGCTCCCGTCCTGCGGGGACACACCGTCACCCAGAAGGCTAATGTCTACAGCGCCCCGGCCAAGGAGAAGATCGGCCCTCTAGTAAGTATTGTGTTAGCTACATGGCTAGCTAGCATTCATTATCTTGGCTGTTAGCCGTCCTTGGCTGCCGAGGTCAAAAGAATGTGTGTTATGTCAGCGGACAGTATTTAACGTGGGTATTTCTTTATGAAAGACATCGTTAATTATTAACATAAGTAAGTGGAATAAAATTGCTACATGTCTGTGACAAATTTAAATGAAATGCTACTTATATTTAGATCATTCATCCACCCAGTTAATGTCAGGCACAGGCTAACACAGTTAGGTTACTGTGTCCTGTACTTATGGAAGCCAATTTTCGCCAACATTTTTGATACTTAGTCTATTTAATTAGATGTTTAGTCGTTATTTTGAATTACTAAGGCGAAATATTGAGATACTAAGTCATAGGCCTAATAATGAGACACTAAGTCATAATAATAAGATATAAAGTCAATTAGTCATAATGAGCTACTTTGTCATAATAATGAGATTATAAATCATAATAATTAAGTACTAAGTCATAATGATGAGATCCTTGGTCGTTTTTGTGAGAAACTAAGTGATAATAATTAGATACTAAGTCAGTCAACAATAAGCTATTGAATCATAATAATGAGACTCAAGTCAAAATTAACACCAAGTCAAACTAATGAGATTCTTAGCTCATAACTATTAGATCCAAAGTCATTTACTGAGATTCTAAGTCAAAATAACTAACTGCGAAGTAAAACATAATGAGATTCTAGCCATTCTGATGAGGTGCTACAATTCAGACGGTAAATCAACGTAATGATGGAGGATTCAAATTTTTTGAGAAACTAAGTAAAAAAAAAAAAAGGATATAGGCCTACTCTACTTCTGAAAATAATAAGAAACGTTTGCAATATTTTGACTAAATAATTATTTTGAGTTTTTGAGTTTATCTTTATGATAGTTTTCTCCCTCAGTTGGGAAATCGCGACTCCTTTTTATTTAAAGGTGGGGTATGTAATTTATTTCCGAAACACTTTTTGTTATATTCCATGGAATGCTCTTAACATCCCGATAGCAATGAATATATTAAATGCTTTAACAATAAATACATTAAAAAAATTCATCTGTGGAAGCCGTAGTACTGTAAAAAGCACGACCAATCATCTGAGCCGGCCCGGCTAAAATAACTGGATGGCCTACCTGCCTCTCAGCCTTCCATCTGTGCACAAACTTATCTCGTGCCCTCATTGGTCATGTGCGTTCGTGTGTGTTGGAGGAGGGGCTCTGTAAGGAAGTGGCAGATTTTTTCCGGTTGTGTATTTTCAAATTCTGGCGCACTCGAGCTGGTTTCTCCAAAATTACCTATCCCACCTTTAAGTAGAGCCATGCCAAAACGGGTTCAGTTATCTAATGACGACAGGCATGTGTCCTCCAGGGACATTTTAGGAGGACCCATGCTATAAATACTAAAAAACATTTAATGTTCCCATGAAACGAAATAAATGCTAAGTTTATTTTTGCTGTCTCATATGTTGCCATGTCTCAAGTCTATATTTTGAGTCTCTCCCTACCTTACTGTTTTTTTCAAACTTCGCTAGCTGCCATAACAAGTCTTGCAGTGATGACATGTCTTCGAAGCCCGACCCAGAAGTTACCATTGTACTTATTTTAGCAACTAAAAGACAATGGGATTTTTCCTTTGGATTTTGGAATACTGCTGAAAATAAGCTCTGTGGCAAACGCATGTTTATGATGCTTACAGTCACAATAATTCACGTAACCACCGCTAAGCTACATGTGGCTAATGTTTGTTGTGATGACTTTCACTAGTCTCATTTAGCGGCTTTTTAGCAGCTGCTGTTTTTCAGAAGCCTCAGACTTTTCATCAGTGGGGTATTTACTGACATATTTTGTCGTAGAACAGAACTTGAACATCTCTCAAGCCTGTGTTAACCATATACCTTATTCAGGCATCTAATCAGAAACTCCATAAAGTTACTTTGAGATTAGCATACTGAATGTGTTAAAATGCTAACGTATTTCTGGAGTTTAAGGTATCATTACTGTACCAATCTATTCACATGAAATCCAAAACTATAAAAACAAAATCTGCCTGCTACACCAGCTGTGACGGCTCTGTCCTTCGCACAGCTTCATACCAAAAGTTTAGATTGTTTTTTTTTTATTTAGCAGCTTCAAACCATTAATGTTTATGTCGTCCTTTCTCTGAGTTGCTTCATAGCATTTCATAAATCACTCCTTAGCTAGGTTTCCTTGCTAAACACTTTTTAGTCAAAGTTAAAACTTCAGAGTATTCTCAGAATGTCTGTGAATATGGCTCCTGAAATTAGCAAAAAATAAGAAGTATATTTCACATTTGTTTTGGTTTTTAATATAGAGATGTACAGCGGGCCCAAAAACACTTCTATTAGGAGAAACGCGCTGCCGTTTAAAAAACAATGCTAATATACAAAAACACCAATGTAGCAAAAATGCAAATGAAGGAACATCTTCACCAACTTGACGAAACATGCGCAGCGTTTACGAAAGAATACAATTCTGTAAATTACAAAAACACTGCAAGAAGCTCAAAACACAAAGGAAATGGCGCACGAAGCTGGTGCCGGAGCGCTTGGTGGCATTCAGGGATTATAAAGTTGCTAAACTTTCACTGTTGGCAGATTTAGCCTGTTTCGTAATTGTATTTGGTCAGTATATTGGAAATGACTACGTTAGCTTACAGCAGATCTGCAATAATATTGGAAGGAAGCATGTGATCCTATTGTTCAAATAACGGATAAAACATTTTACATAAATTCTAAGTGTCAGTTTGCCAACTTTATAATCCCTGAACGTCAACAAGCGCTCCGGTCCCAGCTGTGTTCCTTTTTAGTGTCTCCTGCTTTAATTTCTTATTCAATTTAGTGTATTTGCACCTGTCGGCCACCGTACAATGCATTACACAAGACGTAAACTTGGAGATTTACATTTTACCAACACTATAGGGAGGCGTGTGGCGCAGTGGGTTAGTGCGCTGATCTTCGAATCAGAGGATAGCAAGTTCGAGTCTCACTGCAGTCAGCATGTCGTTGTGTCCCTGGGCAAGACACTTCACCCCAAATTGCTCCTGTGAGGATTGCCCACAGTATTGAGTATGTAAGTCGCTTTGGATAAAAGCGTCTAACAAGTAACATGTAATGTAATGTAACTATGACAGATTCGGGCAATTTACACACCTTATACTAAGCAATACCATAACTTATATTTTTAAATCTTTTTTTTCAAAGAGCTCAGTATAATGTATATTCAGGGATTTAAAATAAATGCTCAATATTAGTTAAATTGCATGGTTTCCAGTCTTTCGATTATTTAAGTACATGTAATAATGCACACATGTTGCTCCTCTGCTATGAGAGGACAGATTTATGGGACCCATGTCTAACTCAGACTTTGCACTTTACAAGGAGTACATTGGATTCTGTTTAATGTAGCTGTAATGATGCTGATTGGTCGTCTGTGTTCCAGGAAACTGTTGTTGCACTCACCATGTTCTCCCTGGCCATCCTGGGACCATCTGGCTGGATCCTGTGCCACCTGGAGGACTACAAGAAGAAAGCAGCGTAGAATGGACATTTTAACAGTATCATACCTCGTGTCAACCTGGGACCATCACCAGAACATGGAACACGTTTTACATTCAGCCTCTACCTCTCACAATTCCACTCCACATCCCATACAGAAAGCAACTGTTTTACAAAATTGACTGATACATGAAAACATGTATTGTGGTTCTTTCCTCTTAAACAGTAATGTTACAACAATAAATGTTTTACAAAACTATAGTGCTTATTGTTTATATTGCATTTGTGTACTAATTTTGGATAAGACTTGAAGTAATATTCATGAAGAATATACTCTTTAACAGTATAATATATTAATGTATGGTTTAAACCAGGGGCAAGCTGTCATATTTCATGTTTGTGCCAAAACATTGTCTTGAATTTTACTTGGAAGTTATATATTTTATTACAATGAAAAAAAAACTGGTTGCAGTGGCTAATTGTACTCAATTAAAATCGAACTTAAAAATAAAACGACTAATGATTTATCCCAGGGAAGCAATATGTACCAATGAGAGTTCAAATGTCTGAACATTGTCTACTTATGTTTTGTAAGCAACCAAAAAAGGTCATCACTCTTGCTACACGTTCAGAGACAGTCATTGCATGCATTCCAAAATACAATGCAGTCCCTTCGGAGAACACTACATATTTTTGATATGCGGAGGAAACATAATTCCCCAATAATTTTATTGCAGTAAAATATTTGTATACAACCATCGATTTCAAATAGAGAATAGACATTTAAGTAATAAAAAACATGCTTGGACTTTTTTCAACTGCGAGTGTATTTGAAAAAGAACAACAGCTTTATGAAGCTCACATTTTATTGTTTGTACATAATACAAATACAATATTCAAGATAGAAACAGTGATACAAATAAAAGGTAACATTCAAAGTGAAATATTTATCAAATACACATTTGGTTTTGATTGCTTTATTTGTAATATATATATCGTCTGTTTTTTATTTCAATACATCTTAAATGTAGTCGTTACAAATATGCGTTTTAGATTATTTTGTCCCTCATGGACTTCCATACCTTCCACAGTGAAGTCACCTGACCGGGAGTTTTTCACGTAACAAAACAAGCGTCTAGGCGGGGCCTCGTTCATAACTTCATTCCTATAAGAGTTGCATTGGCGCATGAAGACAAAATGGCCCAACTTTTGAGAGAGCGAAACGTCACGAAAGTATTCATATAATCATATAATCCGTTCTTATTGTGCATCCATGGGTAAAGGTAAAACTCATACAGTACTGAACACGTCACATGAACGTGCCGGGCGGCGCGTTCCCGTGGGTTAGATCCGCGTTCATAATGCCGAGGTAAATAACTCTCAGAATAACGTTATTAGCACATTTTACAACTTGAGGACCGAATGTTTTTAATAAGGGCTATACAAATATTCATACTGGGTAGTTTATTTAGTTTTAAAAACATTATCCAACGATTTACGGACGTCTCTTTCCCAATGTTAGTCAATGGGAAAAAGTATTTCCAGGCCCAGCGACTGATACGGAAGTGTAGTACCGCCGTTTGGTCACAACGAATATTTTCCTCAGAGTCCGGCGCACTTCTTGGGGGCTTGCTTCCAACAGCTGAATTCTCTCCTGACAAACAGCGGATTTAGCAGGTAAAACCGGGTTAATGTCGAATTCTGTAGTTTTGTGTCTAATAACTTTTTAACGAGCATTTTGAAATTAGCTGAGTGACATTACTGTGCATTAAACTCTTAAAATTCGCTCCTGTTGTCTCCTCCCTTGCTAGCATTAGCTCTTAGCCTCAAGTAGGAAACATTTCAGTAGAGTTACTCACAGTCTCTCACCAAGAGATTACGGCAAACTTTCTAATATCGGCTCCCTAAAATATTCCATAATGTCATGTGGATTCTGTGAGGGGGTACCAAAGGTGGAAGAAGTACTCAGTCTACTTGAGTAAAAATAGAAGTACCAGTGTCCTGCAATCAACATGTTACTAAAGTAAAAGTACAAAAGTATTGGCATCAAAATATACTTAAAATACCAAAAGTAAAAGTAGTCATTGTGCAGATTGGTCCATTTCAGAATAATATATATGTTATGTTTTATAATTATTGATGCATTAAAGTGTTGCAAAGCTGGTAAAGGTCTGGAGGTTACTTTGGGGTTTATCCTTTGCAGAACATTTACAGGAGATCACAGTACAGGAAAGGGAAAACTCCAAAAAGCATGACAGGGCCTCTGTAACTGTTTTGTAAGCTTTGTCTTAACTTGCTTCATTAAGTAAGCCACGACAATGAGGCTGGTGATTCTGGAGGACTATGACCTGGCCAGTGAGTGGGCGGCCAAATACATCCGCAACAGAATCATCCAGTTCAAACCCTCGGCAGAGAGGTACTTCACCCTGGGCCTACCTACAGGTGAGAGCTGGTAAACGGTTTCTGTGTTTATATCAGCGTTAAGCAGAGCCTGTACTGATCTTCTCATTTCTTCCAGGGAGCACTCCCTATGGCTGTTACCAGAAGTTAATAGAATACTACAGAAGTGGAGATATTTCATTCAAATATGTGAAGACCTTCAACATGGATGAATATGTAGGTGAGTTAAAGGCTGAATATACAACTTTCTTTCAATTTTAGACTTGGTTTATTCGACAACGTGTAATGTGTTTTGGTTTTGAAGTGTTTTAACGCTTTAAATTTGATTTCAACTATATTATATCGTCTTTTCAGTCTTGTTTTTTGGTGTACATTCCACTAATGCTAATGTTATGTAGGCAGATTTGTCTCAAGTTGCCTCGAGACGACCAGTTTTCATTAGTTAGCTAAGCACTATATTTATTTCAGCCTTACCCCGGATGTGATAGCTTCCACAGCCGGACAGCCCCTCACGTCTACATCAGTTACTTTTGTTCTTTAGTTGGAACAGAAGATCTGCAGGAATCATTGCACTGCATCTCTTTGGTTAAAATGGCGTCCATCTTGTTCTCCAGGCCTGCCTCGGGCTCATCCAGAGAGCTATCACTCTTACATGTGGAACAACTTCTTCAAGCACATCGACATCGATCCCGCCCACGCTCACGTCCTGGACGGGAACGTGGAGGACCTGGAGGCTGAGTGCCAGGCGTACGAGCAGAAGATCAGCGAGGCGGGGGGCATCGAGCTGTTCGTAGGAGGTCATACTCGTTTCTACGCCTTGATTAGGGTCCCCATTAGCATGGGCATTAGCTATTATTCCTGGGGTCCACACAATAGCAATATACACACAACCTAAAACAATCCAAACTAAATATCTCGTATAAAAAAACAATCAAGTATGGAAGTGAAACTAAAATGATCTTCTGTTTAACCATCATTAAGCCAAACAAGAAATCAACAATTAAAAACAATTCCATGAGAATTAATAACACACTACTACTACTACTACTACTACTACTACTACTAGTAGTACACAAATAAATAATCGATGGCCGATTTAAAAGGATACGTGAACTTTTTTTTTGACATAGACCAAAGTAGTATTATTTTTTGGGGAAAAAAAAAGTCAGATTTTAACCTCAGAATTATAGCTTTATTTTCAGAAAAAAGTCAGAATTATGATTTAATTCAGATTTTCTTTTTCTCAAAACTCTTGACTTTAATCTCAGAACTAAGAAAAAACAACCTTTTGGTCAGATCTAAAAATATATTCACATGTGACCCTAATTTTTTTTTGTAGATAAGTACTCGTCAACAAATACCTTAAATTGTATATTTATCTATCCTGCACTTACATATGTTACATTCAAAGAAAAATAGTGTTTAAAAAAATATATGAACGTATAATACAATTGTGTCACTTTATGAGTGGTCTCTCAGCTGAATCTCCAGATGTTATCTCCCTGCAGGTATCGGCCCTGACGGCCACATAGCGTTCAACGAGCCGGGCTCCAGCCTGGTTTCCAGGACCAGAGTGAAAACGCTGGCCAAGGACACCATCGTAGCCAACGCCCGTTTCTTTGGAAACGACCTCTCCAAGGTCCCCACCATGGCTCTGACGGTCGGCGTGGGAACTGTCATGGGTGCCAAGGAGGTCAGTCACACACTTCATCTGGTCCTACAATGTCCTGCAATAATGAACCTCATGTAACCAGGTTAGGATATTACTCTGTACGGAAGAAGTACTCCATTTTTATATTAAGTAATATTGCTACAAGTAGAATTCCTTTGAAATCTATATACACACCTCTAAATATATATATATATATATATACATCTCTAACTATATAATATAGTGGCCCATTTTATCACTCGAATATAATTAGTGATACATTATTGTGTAGATTAATTAAATGTTGTTATAATCATATTGCAATTATCTTTCTATTCAATCATAAATGTGTCAGCATTCATTAGTGGGTTTAATTATTTGTATTATGAATATGCAAAGTAACTCCTAATGTGAATTCAGTAGAGTAAAGAGTACAATATTTCAAATGTTCATTATGATCATAATTGTTGCTTTAAAGGTCCCCTATTATACTGTTTATTTCAATATAGGTCTCAGATATATACAAAACATGTCTCTGAAGTGTTTGGCTCCAAACACCAAACAGATCATTGCAGCATCCCATAATCCCCTCTGTTTCAGCCCTGTTTCAAAAGTGCTGATTCTCTGGCTGTTACTTTAGATGAAAATAAGGAGCCACTCCCCACGCCCCTCTGAGAGATATTTGGTTGAAAAGAACACAATAGCCGCTTTCACACCAAGTACTTTGCCGTACTTAATTCCCAGCACTGAGTTCCCCCATGGAACTAAGTACAGATCGCGTTCACACCGGAATAAGTTCCCTGAGGGAAGATTACGCAAATGAAGCCGCTGACGTCACTTCTTCCTCTTCTGCTTTGGGTTTACTGGCAGGCCGCAAACCACTTCACGGCGTATACTGCCACCCGAAGTCCCCGGTCGGAAGTCCCCGGAGTTGGGGACTGGCTTCAGTAGAAGCTGCTGGGACTCCCAGCAGCTTCTACTGAAGCCTTCCGAGTAAATCGCCAGAACGCCGACACCTCCTCATCTCCACCGCTCCCATGTTTTTTTTTGTGTTGCCATAAATTAGTCTCTTTCCGTTGGTGCGCTGGGCTAATGCTAATGCTAATAATGCTAATGCCAGCAAATACAATGACGGCTTCACAAAACTTTTCAGAGTTTTACGGGGCGTGGTTTGCAATTCGCCCAGCCAATCAGAAATTGGAACTTTT